AAAAAAATAATATTTGTCATGTGCTATTAAAACAAGCATGTAGTGGATACAATATATAATTGAATTAATCGTTGAAAATTATAATAAATAAAGTTTCTTACAAGAACTCATTTAATAAAAAAAAGTTTGCATGAAATTTCGTACCGAGTCTTATGACAAGCAAGTGAAATTTTGGTGAGATTTTATATAGAAAAAACCTTAACAACTAAGTTGTTAATAATATTCTTTACTTAAATTATTTAATGTATAATTAAAGAATAATATGACTTTTTTTTTAAGAGAATAATGTAATAGCATACTTATCGATATTAAACAACATCTCATTTAACATCATTCAACCATTGGTAAAGGCTATTTAAATTTTAAATTATCCTGTAATTATATCGCGTTATCATGGCATTTGATATTTTTTTTCATTTATTTTAGCATCGTCTTCAAGTAAATGATGAGTTGTCCAATATTCAGTAGCAAGAAACAGGAAACTGCGTATTAATGTGGTTAAAATATAATTAATATAATATGAATACATTGTTGGGGCTTTTTCCATATAATATTGTATAATATTATTTTTGATATTATACACCAATTTACAGTGCCCGGTGGGTGAACACTTCATAACATTACTCAGCTTTCTGTCGTCGCATATAGTACAATATACAAATAACCATCATATATGTGTACCTTATTTTTGGACAACAGCCAACTCTAATCAGAAACGCTTTTGTAAGAAATAAAGAAATCATATGTGTTCGACAGCTATGCATATGTTAAGTATTAATATAGATGTCATCGTGGGGAAGGCTACTTAAAATGTATACACATATAATGTATGTGTATAAAGTAGCACAATTTATCATAGATAGGTATAGGTATCGGGTTGATGCAGGGTTGAGGTGTAGTACAATATAGACTGTCCAGGAGGCAGAAAAAAATATGATTATTATGTCGACTTAAGACTTTGGCCCTAAGCCATCATCAACACGCCAAATCTCCCCGGCTGTGATGACGCAGGTGACCACCGATTGATTTTCACTCATTGTAGTAAAATTACAAATTCGATGAACTAAAATTTTCAAAAAATTGTTTTTTTTAAGAGTAGAAACCGGGGAAGCATATTTACAACACCCCCACATTATCTTGCGAATTCCTTTAAAATTAAATTCATATAAATTCCATACTAAATTTAATTTTTTTTTTTTATATCCATGTAGTGAGGAGAAGCTTGGAAAACAAGACAAAAGTAAGTAACATCATTGTTTGCACGTTTATCCTACTAAATGGAAAGCAAAAGAAGATTTTTGAAGCAATTACCTATAATTTAAAATAGGTATATATTGAGTGTTTGATAAATGTTAAAAATACAAAAAAAATTATTAAAATACAATAATGTTGACTTTTGCTCTAAAACAAATATTATTTACAGAACATGATAATCTTTATTTTGTGGTATGGATGCTATAGGTTCCTATAATATTTTGTTCTGCCCCAACTCACGAGTTTAAAATTTATTCAGTTCTCTATACCAATGGAAAGTCATTCTTTCGCATCAAATACTAGAATGATAGTTATTAATAAAATATTCATTTGCCCAAAGTCGATCGATGCGTCACGCGTAACATACTACTGCGAGAATATTACTTATGTTATATATTTTAATAATTCAGCCGTGTTTTTATCTTTCGCACCGTGTATTTTACACAGATTTATACTATATACGATTGTGGGGAGAGAGAACGACATTTCCACTAACCATGGCGAATTTCACGCGTTATTCGTACAAATATTTGTACGCCACGACAAAACGCTATACACTCTGTTTATATACTTATGTTTAATGCACAACAATAACGTTTGCGACAATCTTAAATATTTTACTGCGTATTCCTTTCGGATTATGTATATCACGAAAATAACTGTCAAATATGAATTTATTACTCACTATATATACCGTCACTACTGCATTTGCAGTATTTTGTTATTATTTTAATATAATTGTATTATTTATATTGGGAATAATTTACACCAATATGGCAATATGTCTATATTATTATGTTGTGCGAGGTGTGACGTGCATCGTTCCTGGCACTGAACTCGTTGTTGAGGCAGTAGAGTTAAGGCCGTTATTTATTTATTTTTTACTATTTAGTGCACGTAATTTGGATTAGGAAATTGTTTACGAAAATGCGCTTTGAGATATACAATTTGTATGGATGACTATTGTTCTTGGAATTCTATATCCCGGACGCTACAACACGTATATATTATAATAAATATAGGCGTTTGCTCTAGACTCATGCAAGGTATTAAAAAAATAAAATAGCGACGTATATACCAGAAAAGCTGTTGCAGCGATAAATGATGTAATACAATAGTGTAAATTGTTTTATAATAAAATTGTGATAATATTATTTTACTTAATCACCGTGAAACTTTAATATAAATAAGGCTTAGAAGTTGTAGGAGCTAAAAAAGACAAAATATGCACGAAAAAATTACAAAATAAGTATTAAAATGATGTAAAATATACAAAAAAATTGTTCTGATTTCCAAAAACTAATAAATTAATAAAATAATAATATACATAAAAATTGTGAATAAGTGAAAAAAAATTTTAAATAGTTGATATTTTGACATATTATTGAGCTAAAAATATAAATAAAAATATTTTTTCAGTACCTATTTTTGAAATCACGGAAAATACTTTCGTTGAAAATTTTGAGTTTTATTTTCAATATTTATTGAAGTATACAGGTTAAGAAAGAAAAAAATTAATTTTTTTAGAAAAATATGAAATACGCATAATATGCGTATCCAATTAATGAAATAATATGTACTTTTTTTTAGCTAAAATTGACAAAATATGCATTTGCAATTTTCAATTTTTTAACTTTCCATAGTACAGATCAGTTTCCTAACTTAGTCTGCTATAAATTGAAAGCATACAGAACAATATGCAATTCCTACAACTTTCAAGCCCTAATTATAATTTTTATAAGTATACACTAAATATTATACAAGTATTTATTAAAATTAGTGGAAACACAGCAACTTTAAAAAAAGTGAGCAAATAGGTAACCATAGTGCTATATATATATAAAGTAGTTGTCATTGATTGGTCAATGTAATTATAATTATCCCAATAAAGGAATTTCCTTCTGATGGGAGACACTAATATAATAGACGTGTTAAATTTTTAATTCAATGATTTTGTTTATGAGAACCGAGATTTTGAGTATAAGCGATCTCATTTTTTTGATAACCATAAGGTTAGGTTATTTTTCTTTTTCCATAATCCAATTATTTTAAAAAGTACTGAAAATGGCATTTGATTCTCCATACTCCATAGTACAGACTAAAGTCAAAATGTTACCAAAAATCTTTGTTTGAGTACTTTTTTTACTAAAAAAAAATAAAAATCTTTCAATATATTTATAGTAATTCTGCTCAGAATCTAAAATTATTTGTATTTAAAATAGACCTTGACGGTCTTCACACATAAATGAACAAGTTACTTTAATAACCATCGCGGACTAGCATAGATTGTGAATTACACGTATCAAATTGAATGTAATTTAGCGTCGAGTAATTAAGAAATAGTACAAATAAAAATGTGACAAAATCCCAAAGCATAATCGACGTTTACATTTTTATTCTAATATAGAGTTATCGGTGGAAAATTAACAAAATCTAACCGTTTTTAGTTACGATTTAAACGCTTCACGTGATTTGTATACAATATTAGGTTTAAATAATGTATTATTTTAGCGTATTTGATTTATTCAATTAAATGATAATATTATGTACATTTGACGTTAAATTTGCATTATTTAATGTGCGTAATAAAAGTGTAAACAGAATAATGTAAATAATCATCTCGTAAATGTGAATTGCGAACACAATATTGTAGGCATACAATATAGATTTTTATAATGCTGATTATTAAGATTTAAGACCAATCCGTTCATTAAGTTACCGTGTGCATATGAAATTGCCTATACGTTTACTCCTTGTAATTATTGTTTTATTGATGATTGCAATCCGTAGAAGTGTATAACAAAAACAACACGCGTCTATTAATTATTATAATTTATAATTCTGTTGTTTACGGGTATATTTCGATGAATAAACTTTTTATGAGAGAGCTATCGCAGATACGGAGCAAAATATGCTTCCGAGTTCCCGTGTTCCGTAACCGTCGAACCGCCGTCATTGACCAACGATTATTAGAGGTTTACACGGTATGAATGAAAAATATTCGTCGTGAAAATAACTGGGAGAAATATATCGCCGTCCAACAGACTAATTGAAAATGTGCATTCGGATGACGACGAGATGTGCACCAATAACAGGTATTATACACGGATGTTTTGGCGTTTGGCGGCAGCGTCGGCGTTTGTGGCGGGATAAGACAACGGCGGCGGCACGACGGTGGGAACGCCACAGTGTTGCCAGCAGTCGGCCGCCGAAATACCGGCGGGTCGGCTGTCCGCACTGGCCGATTCCAGGGGCAGGCACACAGTGTCGTCGGCGTGCGGTGGGAGTATATAACACTATAAGCTGCGGTGACCGTTGGACCCGCACTCCCGCCGCCGCCATCCCACCACGGGCTTGATGCGTCACGCGATGCGCGCGCCGCTCCGGTACGTTGTCCGGATTCTTTTCGCCATTCTTGGCATTCCACAAACAGAGCGCGGCTTTGTGTTTACTAGTTGAATACTGTGCGTAAAAATTGGACGTCCGCACACACCAGGTCGGGGCCAACGACACACGCACGCACGCACCAACTCACGCACGCACGCACGTCATACGATCGCACTCACGTACGGTTTTTTTTTTTTTTTTTTATGCGATTTAACGACGTATTTATTATTATAATCGTATAATAATTATTTATTTACAATTATAATATAATATTATAATTTAATACACGAGACGACAACCACAAAGACCACCATCACACCGGTACGGGGTAAGTGTTTTTTTTTTTTTTTTAAATTTGCCGCCTTTTGGGATTCGTCTTGTCGTTTTTTTATTTGGAAACGCCGCCCGTTTTGAACCCCAGGTTCACGACGCAACGCTAACGGTGATTCCAGTTTACCGGCGGTAGGCTTCACCCCGAGTTAAAGCAGTTAGGGATTGCGCTGAAACGGACCGACGACCGTGCCGGAAATTATTAGTTTTGAGTGTTTTGACTGAGTACAGTGAATACTTCTCCTTTAATACGACTGAAGAAGTGCGTGCGCTGTTGGTATTTGATTTTCGTATTTTTCATAACGGTCGCTCGGAAGACGTGTGCTATATTACACTATTACAGTATTCATCGCGGCGCGTGTCGTAATAACAATAATAATAATTTTGCCGTCGCCGCAGGCACCCGTCGCCGCCTCCGTAACCGCCGCCGCCGTCTCGCGAGTCGCGAACAGTCGCGCGGCAGTCTCCGTCCGTTCGCCGCCGTCTTATCATCATCGCCGTGCCCGCCTTTTCCGTAGTCACCGCCGCCGCCGCTGCCTCTTCCGTCTCGCCGACAAGTGTGTGTGTGTAGTACGCGTTTTTGCGTGTTTGCCGCTTGCGATTTTTTTCGCCGTCTCGTCGTCCGTCCCGACAAACAATATTTCGCCGTCCGTGTGATAAACCGTTGTTGAACGTATCCGGCTGTGGCGGCCCGTCGGAAGAGTCTTAAAAAAGAAGAAAGAATTCTAGTTTTCACGTGACGAAAACACCCGCAAAGGACACGCATTGCCGTCGTCCAGGTAAGAGCTAGAGCGTTCCGTGATTTCATAAAATAACGGTCATCGCGCGCCAACACGTTAAATAGGTTTTTCGTGTGCATTTGCATCGTCGTCAATGGTTTATTATTTATTATAGATATTATTATTATTATTATTATTATTATTGTTGCTGTTGCTATATAGCCGTAAGATACGGCATTTGCGTTTGTTCGTCTTGCAATGGGTCTACGTAGACCTTTGATGTGTCCGTCTATTGCCGACAAATAATTTTTATTTATATATTTATTTTTTCAAAGGGCGAATAGAGGGACGAAAAACGATTCGCTTTTGTTATAACCGTCTCCTATAATGTTCGGTCATCGGACCTCGAGCGTTTACCCGGAAAAAGCATGATCTTGAATGATTGGTGATGGCGTTTACGTGCCTGAAAAAATTCTTTCGGTTGTGTTTATACTATTGTAGATAGTCGCGAGGGATGTTTGAAAGTAGCTTCAATAGCATCGGGTATCGTTGAATTTTTATAATTTCCTTCCTGTCGATTATTGACTATGTGTCAAACGTACAGTGGTATTACGTAGTACGTACATAAAATTTTGATATTGTAATTACTCGTTAAACAGTTCAATAAATGGTTTAAATCTACGGTAAATTTCGTTGCGTTAGAATTTTATTCCGGTTTCTCTATTGCACGTTGCAAAAAAAATAAAAAGACTACCAACAATTTTTGGTCAACCATCGTCGAATAGGTACGCTAGATTGTTGGTATTTATTCATAATTAAAGGTACACATTCCATAAAATATATATTGTATATTAAAATAATATATTCAGTAATTATTGTGCGTTGGTAATAGTTGCTTTTTGTCACGACAACCGTTCGCTGTTAATGTTTATTTTTTTTATTAACTTTTGATAAATTTTTTTACACTTGGATAATATAAATAAAGACATTATTATATTATTTTATGTCTAATTATCAAGTAATTGAATTGTTTACGATCCAGTATTAATATTGTTAATTGATGTTATGACATTTCTATATATAGAGTTTGCAAACAAATTATTAAACTTTAAATATATTGTCATCTAAGTTTGGTTATTTGGATCTATTGTTAAGGAATCTATCATTTCTTAAGAATAACTTTTTAAATTCGGTTTTAAATTATACTATTGAATAATGTATTGCCTTATTCTATTTACTTCTAATCATAGTTTTTGCTGGCTTCTCATTGCAATGTTAATTTTAAAATGCTGTTAAATTAAATATAAAATAATCAAGCAGAAAAACTATTTGAAAATTTTAACAATTTAGTATACTATTTTTGATATATTTATATTGCCTCCAATTTATTATTATTATACAATAAATGTTTTAACTTTTATTTACGTTTCAGTAAATATTCATAACCTAAACTATAATAATATATTGACTTAGCAGTAGTACGTCAGTATCTTTATTCTTTTATCATAAACTTTCCCAAGAAGTTTTTATACTCAAAGACAATAATCAATACTTTTGTTAAAAATAAATAAACAGCAATAATTATAATAATTTGTTTTAATTTATTGAAAATGATTTGTAAAAAGTAAACTATAATTAATAAACAATGAATTGAACATTTCTTTTGATTGATTATTTTACTCAAGGCATTTCATTTTATTTTTCAAATAATAATTATTATTATTTTTAGAAAATGTACTTTTTATGATTATGGCACTAGTACTCACTCCAAAACGGTTTTATTGTGAACAAAAATTTAGCTAATGACTAATAAATCCAATTGTATACTAAACTACTGTTTTGACAGGCATAGTCATTAGTCGTGTGCTACACGCGTGTAAAAAGGTTAAATTAAGTAAAGTTGATTCATTTTGCCAGTTTGTTAATTTCGATTTTGTTGAAAAATATCTGACAGTCACACCGAGTATTGGGGTAACTGATTTCTAGTTCAGCAACTAAAATCTATCTACCTATTTATTTATTTATGCATTTTAACTATTCAACAAATTTAGGTAAATTCAAAGTATAATATTTAAATTATTAATTCGGGAAAAATTAATTTTTTTTTCGCTGCCTTAACGTCTTTAATTAATATTTATTAGATTATTCTAATTCTGACTATCTATTGGTTTTTTTATTTTTGCTCTTATAGCATATTGTTATATTGTATGACTAATAAATAATAATTACCTCACAAATTACTGCTGTGCACTATAGCATAATGAAGTTGACGATTTCCAAAGTAAAGTTTATTTAGAAATATATACTGCAGGTAAGTTGTCTTAAATATTTGACTATTTATCGAATTATTATTATACAGCGATGAAGTTTTAATTATGAAAGTTTTAATGTTGAACTTTTCTTGATAATTGAATTAATATTTTAACTTGCTTACAGTCTTAAAATATGATGAATGAATAAAAAAAATATTTATTTGATTATTGGATTTATTTCTAATTATATTTTCTTTCAACTTTTCAAAATATTTTAAAATTCGCAGTTTTAGCTACAAAATAAAGTTAAAATATTCGTATTATCTCCGGTCCTTAGGTGGATCAATAAATTAATTGTCTCTGAACATAAGCCTTTTAATAATATTATGATTATAATAAAGGTGTACCGTATCGTATTATTTTACTTTAATTATATTAATAATTTTCTTTTTATAATTGTCAAAATGTATCGAAACTTATATACAACATTTACTCACAAATTCAGTATAATATATCTTGTGAAATATATTGTATAATGAGTTTAACAGGAAGTAACTTTGAGTTTATTGTATTTGTGCATTTTTAAGTACTTGATGTGTATTTAATTTTATGTTTACATGAGTAATTGTCTTATTTTAATGTATTTCAAAGATTGAACATTAATTTCACATGGCTATTATACGTATTAGAATTTTGAGATGGTTTATTAAGGGTGTGTTTTTATCATCTTGATAATTATTTAGAAAATCTTGAGTTAAGTGAACTTTGAATCAAACCGTTGTGGTTTAAAGTGAATTTTGTCATGTATTTCTACAATTAAAGAAACTATATCTATAGGTATATCTACTAGCTAATATTTATCACAATGAGTAACAGTTAGATAAACACGTACTTATTATAAAATATATTTTTGACTGCATATTATAAAATGTTGAGGGTTTCAATTGCAATTTTTTGTTACTATTTTTATTTTTATTTTTATTATTTTCCTCGTAACGTATTATTGTAATATTTTTTTAGATTATGTATTTTATCGCCACTAGCACGTTATGACTTGTGATTATAAAATTAAAAAAAAGCTTTGTATAAATTAATTACATAATATTGTTATTACTTTGTAAAAATGTAGAAGAAATCAGTTTTTGACATTAAATTTAAACGAAATATTTATATTATATAGTAGGTAAATGTCAAAAATCAGTACAATATAAATCTTTTATAGTGTTTAGAAATTTTAGGTTTAAAAAAGACAATATTCCTGTAACATATTTTATGAAACTTCGTATGATAGTAATATATTTTAACTTTAGAGTTCTAAAAAATGTAACTCATGTTTTTTTTTGTTAAACAGACAATCAACCAATTTAAATATTTTTTTTATGGAAAAATTGTAATTTTTCTAAATTTTTTGAGTTTATTTGATAAAAATCTTAGTCATCATTTAAACTTGATCTTTTAAATTTTTTATTGTGGTGAACAATAATTGAAAAATATAAAGAAAAATTCAATTTGAAATTATATCACTAAATTATTATCTTATTGTTTTATCTATTCGTCCCCTTCTCACTATTGATTATATATCCAGAGTTTTAGATAAATCGTTTTGTCAAGAATAATTTTTGATAACTTTAATCATCTTGTTGAGTCTACACATCAAAATCGCAAATCAATTATTACGCGTTCCCGGTAACGTGTTTTCAACCGAATCGTGCAGTGTTCGACGGCTGCTGGTTATACCTTTTTTAAAACTTTCGGTTAGGTTTATTATTTCATGTTTCGCATAATATATTTAATGTTTAAACGTGCAAATAAACATAATTCCTAACTGGTAATATATTATAATATTATGTGTAAAATAATATATTCTGCGCACACACTTAGGTGTAAATATAATATGGTTACGTCACAATAATTTACGAAAATTCGTTTGTACTCTTAAACGTGTCTATATACAAAATAATATAACATTGTATAATAATGAAACTAAAACCTTACGGTGTTTCCATGTGTATGGTTTGTGACCGTAGGTCCGATCAGAACGCGCCTTGCTAAAACGACTGACGAAGGTGTATGTCGGCGTCATCAGGTTTTTTGCTATTATTATTATAATATTATTTTAATTAAAGACCCATGTATATTTGCAATTGCATCGAAACGTCCGACGATGGTATACTACGTGGGTTATAGCATTGAGTATATATAGTATATATAGTATATAATATACTCAATGGTTATAGTCACGTTAGTCCACCGTAGACCTGATCGAGAGTGTTGTTTTTCGTATAGTTATTTTTTTCAGTTAAGAAGATATATAGATACACAAACATGTATTGTCTTTGTCTTACTAACGTAAAATAACATTGTATATTTCATTCATAAAAATTAATTTAATGTTAGTAAAATTTTATATATTCTCAGACTTTAAAGTAAAAATATAATCTTGGCCATCCCAAATTTTATTAATATTATAAGGTATTATAATTTTAATGTGAGTTATGAACATTTTAAATTTGTATTATTATACTTAGTTATAACTCATTTTAAAAAGGTAATATCAATAAAAGTTTATGAAATGTCCTATACATCCGAGTATACGTCCTAGGTCGTGTATTTTTATCTTTAAACTTGATAATTGGTAAATCTATCTTTAATATTAAAGTTATTTTGATAAAGCAAATTTTCTGTATTGTATTATTTTTCTATATTTGTAATCTCCAAAAAATATTTTAGTACAATTAACAAATTTGAAAAAATGTAAAATACAAATACAAATATGTATCAATAAGATGTATGCATCTTGGGTACACT